TAATAATATTAGGATAAGTTAGATGTTTACATTATGTAATAATGAAAAACTTACTATTTTCTTAATAAATAAATTTGAGACAAGGCCTTGCTGAAACTTAAAAAAAAAAAATTATATTTTATATAAAATATTTTAACATATAAAATTTTACTTAATATAGGACTTTTATGGGATCAATATAAAAATTATTATATTGGTTACTTGGATTTTGAAGATAAGATGAATGAGTATCAGGAATTTGCATTGCAATGTCAACTTGAAATAGAATCAACAAATTCTTCATTTAATAATGTAATGTGCAACAAACAAAAATATAATCTTGCAATACAAGTACATCAATTTATATAGTATTCAATAACATATAATTTTCATTTCCCATATCTTATTATAGAATTAATAATATTACAGTACATAGTCTAAATATTTTAATTTTTGAATTAGCAACAAAATTGGAATATGTAGGTATACATATTATAGGTTTAATATATGATGGAACAGGAGAAAATTGGGCATATATTAAAAGTTTTGATTGGTATATATCAAAATGGACATGTAGTGATATTGTTGAGGTTAACTTTAATAAAGATAAGAAATCTTTCTATAAAACAAAAATAATAGAAAGTAATTTTGAAAAAATAAAATTTATTATTAGCTTGCTTGACAATTCTGAAACAATAGAAGTTAATCAAAAATATATTCGTCTACTAATACTATCTAAATCAAAATGGAAAATTAATGAAATGTGTAAATATAAAAGTTTTAAAGATAATCAATGGTATTTAACAAAAATAGTTGATTATAATTTAGATGATATAATTATAGAAATTTCTAAAAATATGGAAAAATGGAAAGTTTTTAATCAATATATCAATAATTTTCTTCCACCTGTTTATAATGTACATAAACTTTCAGCCTATTACAAATCAGTAAATCCAATTATGGGAAAAGATTAGTTTTTTATTAGTGATTCAACACATGTTTTTAAAAAGCTTCAAAATAATTTATCAAAAAGTAATACTGGTGAAAAAAATAGTTGTGAAATAATGTTAAATAGGAAAGAAATCAGTTGGAGGTGTATATGAGCATACAAATAAATATGTAATAGCAAAAACAACAAAACTTACCAAAAGACATATATATCTTACTTTATACGTGTTGCCCAAATCCCAAATCATTTGGGATTTGGGACGCCAAGATCCCAAATTACTAGTATTTGGGATTTGGGATTTGGGATTTCGGCAAAAAATACTAATCATAATTTGGGATTTGGGATTTGGGATTTCGGCATTTGGGATTTCGGCATTTGGATTTTGAATTTGGGTGGCAGGTATATCTTACTTCATGGAGTAAGATACAAGTTAATCTTGTAGAACAAACATTATCTAAAGAGGTAGAAGATATATTAACACTTATTGAAGAACTTAAGAAAATATCAAAAGAAACTAGAGTAATTAATTATTAGATAATATATCAAATTTTTATTTTAAAAAATAAAACTAATTAATTAAAAATTTTTTACAGAATTTTATCAAATATTTACGAATATATTGACAAATAATGCATAGTAAAATTAATTTCTGATCATTAGAAGATTCATATATTAAAACCTTAAAAAACATTTGTGATTGGTTTATAAATGGTGATATGCAAAAAAAAAATCACGAGAATAGATTTTATCTCAATGCCAATTTGATTTAATTATTTCTATTAATGGTTTTCTTGAAATGCTTTTATTTTTATTTAAAAAATATTCTTGTTCAATGGTTCAACCAAAACACATTTTACAAAATATACTTGAAGGTCTTTTTGGAACAATTCGAGAACTGGGTGAAGATTCTTCAATACAAATACTGAAATCCTATGGTTATGCATTAAATAAATATCAAATTACAGTATTAGTTTCATCTGAAATAAAAAGTTTTAATTATGGAAATGCTAGTTGCAATAGACATGAAATTAGTAATTTAACAAGAAGGTATATACTTAATTTTTTTTTAATTTAAAAATGTTATAATAATTTGTTTATTTATTTTTACATGCAATTGAATAAAAATTATTTTTTATTTTATTTATAATTAGGGATTATTGAAAAAATAAAAAGAAATTTCTTATTAATAATAAAAATAATTCAAAGTACCAGAAAAAATTGATCCAATTATCATCTTTCTCTCGTATTGTTTTTGAAAATTTTTTATCAGATAATCTATTCATGGGTAAAATCAAAATTCCATTAGAGGCGTATAATGAAAATGTCAAACAGGAAAATAATAATGTTTTGTATCTTCAAAGTGAATGGAATAATCTTATAAAAACTATTCTTTATCAAGATTCTATTGATAAATTATTAGAAAAATGAAGAAATATAATTAAAAAGATAGTATACAAAGTAATTTCAAAAAAATAAGAGTTCAATGATTAGTAAACTGAAGTTCTCAACTGGAAATTTGTATAAATAATTATCAATATTCTGGAATTTGGTATCAGGATTTTCTTACAGAAATGAATTTAGAAGGTTCTTTAACCCAAAGACTTGTAGCTTACTTGATTTTACAAAAAGTTATCAAGTTTACATTTAATATAAATATGGAGTAAAAAAATTTATATTCTGTAGATCCACAATTAATTTCAAACACAATAATAAATTTTGAACTGGCTGAGGTATCAAAATTTTCATATATTATTGGATGGGTTATTTATAAATTAATTAAAAGTGACAACATAATGAAATTATACCTTAAATATGAATTTATATGTATTTATCTTAAGGTTCTAAGTTTAGAAAAAGTTGTATATGAGCGAAATATATGATCCTAGATAACAAATGTGGTGCTGGATCAAGATTTTTTGGATTTCATGTATAAATTAGAATCAATAATTTTATTATTATTTGAAAAATATAATGATCTTGGTCCTGATATTCTTTTATATATTCATAAAAGTTTATTATGTAATTTATCATTATTGGAATCTTTTAATATACTTATTAATATTGTCGATCAAAAACTATATATAAGTGCCAAAAATAATAAGTTAACAGATGAAGTTAAAGGTTTTCTCTATGAACAAATTATTATTATCTATATGAAAAGTAGACAAAAGTCCTGAAGAAGATTCAATGAATTTATTTCTGAAAAAGGAACCTCAAGTTTTCATGAAAACCTTAAAGTTATGAAAAAAGATATAAAAAAAATTGAAAATTATACATCAATAAAAAAATCTAGTATTCCGATGGAACCTATACTTGAATTAAATCAGCTTCAAATATGGGCATACCTGAAAAATGCTGAAGAATAATTCTCTAAAATATTTTTAGTAAATGAGTTGCAATGGTTAATTTGAGCATTTGGTGTTGAATTAAGAAATAAATGAAAAAAAGATTTAGTACCTGTGATTTTGGAATACTTAAAAAAGGATACACCTTTTACTAAAGAAGCATTAGCGAAGGAACAAATTTTTTCATTCTAAAATTACTATAATTTTCAATAAAGTGATTTGAAATTAATTTCAAATTAATAATTTTGTAATAAAAAGTTAAATAACATAATCAATTGTTGTCCAATTTAATACAAAACACTTTGTACTCATAGAATTAGGGTAAGAGATCTCGCCTTTTAAAATCAGCTACTTGAAAATAAGTGAACATAATTTTTTTTATGAAAAAAATCATTTTTATATAATTAAAAAATATTTGTATAACAGATTTATTAAATTCAAATTAGCAATTTCATTTATAATTATGTAATTCTGTATTGTCCTCCCCATTAAAATAACTATCCTCTAGTTATTATTACGATTATTATCATTCGTTGTCGTCATTATAATTATTATTACGATTGTCATTATCGTAATTATTATTATGATTATTATAATTACTGTAATTATTATTATCATCATTATCAATACCTATGATATCTTGTTTTATAAATTTAATAAATTAATTTAATTATAAACAAAATATAATAAATATAATTTGTAAATATAATACCTTTATATTCATATTTGTCATCTGTCATCTTCCACTCCTCCGAGTAGTAACCACTATCACCTAATATTTTTAATATATCCTTTTTAAGATACATATTTAATTTTTCATCTCCTTTTAATAAGTATACTGTTACTTTCTTCCTCCTTTCCTTCTTCTATTTAAAATAAATTATATCAATAATATGTCTGATAACTATATTATTACATTTATTATAAAAAAATCTTACCTTTGCTATTTCAGTATTCTTCTTTATTCTTCTTTTATTTATTTTTTCATTTCTAGTTACTTTCACCCTCTATTACTGGTACATCATACAATACCACATATAGAGCATTTTTTTAATCTCATAATCAGATATAGTATACTTGATATTCAATATTTTATTTAATTTGGGCAAGAGTTTTTTGATTAAATATCATATTCTTCCTATTTACATTCTGGTTTAAATAGATATTTATTTTGATATCTAGATTTATATAACAAAAATAATTCTTTCTATAATTATACAAATTGATATTAGTTATTCTGCTCAATATATATATAATATAAATATTTGATATCCAATATATATATAATATAAAAAATCAAAAAAAAAATAAATAAATTTACTCTAATTTTCTTTTTCATCAGGAAATTTTTAATAGCAAATATATCCGGATATATTTGCCTTAAATTAATTCGAATATATTCGAACCACCCCCGCATTTATCCGCATTAAATATCCACATATATCCGGATATATTCGCATATATCTGGATATATTTGCGAATTTATCCAAATATATTTGCATATATCCGGATATATTGCAAATTTATGTGGATTTATCTGATATGTGAATTTATAAGGATATATTCACACGAATTTATTCAGATATATCCGCATATATCCGCATATATTTGCATATGAATTTATTCGGATATATTCGCCTATATCAGAATTTATAAATTACAAAACGGAAATAATTTATCATCGTTACGACGTAATAACTTTTTATTTTACTAAGTAAATGTCAACTACTGCATTAAGTAAGTAGAAAGATAAGAAGGTTGTGCATCTTCTGTAAAACTTTTAGACCTATCTCATCAAAATTGAGCAAATTATGAACGGTTATTTTCGAACACGATGAATTATTTCCGTTCGAAATTTAATCGCTCATAATTTGCTCAATTTTGATGATATAGGTCTGAAATTTTTACAGAAGATGCACAATCTTCTTATCTTTCAACTTACTTAATGCAGTATTCGATATTTACTTATTAAAATAAAAAGTTATTACGTTGTAACGATGATGATTTATTTCCGTTTTATAATTTATAAATTCAAATATATCCGACTAGATGTCAACTATCAAAGTTAAGGTTGGCTGAAGTTAGGAGATCTACATAGAATCTACATAGGCTAGTTCTTCAATTTATCTGGATATATTCGCATAAATCAGGATTTATAAATTACAAATCGGAAATAATTTATCATCGTTACAACGTAATAACTTTTTATTTTAATAAGTAAGAATTGAATACTGCATTAAGTAAGTTAAAAGATAAGAAGGTTCTCCATGTTCTATAAAAATTTCAGACCTATATCATCAAAATTGAGCAAATTATGAACGACTAAATTTCGAACGGAAATAATTCATCGTGTTCGAAAATAACCGTTCATAATTTGCTCAATTTTGATGATATAGGTCTGAAATTTTTATAGGAGATGTACAATCTTCTTATCTTTCAACTCACTTAATGCAGTTTTCGACATTTACTTATTAAAATAAAAAGTTATTACGTCGTAACGATGATAAGATATTTCCGTTTTGTAATTTATAAATTCTGACATCTGCAAATATATCTGGATAAATTCGCAATATATCCGGATAAATTTGCAAAAATATATTTGGATAAATTCGATCACCCACGCATTAATTCGCATATTCCAAATATATCCGCATATATCCACATATTATAAAATTTATCCGGATATATTCGCCCTCAAAAATTTCCTGATGTATTGTTCCCATCTATTACACCCTATTACCATTAATCTCTGTCTATATAGTTTCCTTTTTAATTATTGCCGCCCTCCCCTTCTACTCATTTTTCTATTTTCTTGATATTACTTATCAATAATTATTAATACTTACCTTTATTTATCCACTTACTTTGTATTACTCACTTCATTTTCATCCTTTTCACCATCCCCTCCATCCCGAATTCATTATAAAAATCTTGATCCTTTATTTTCTTTCTCCACTTATATTTATAAATTCTTTCAGTTACGTCAATTATGTGTCACATGACTTCTGATATACTGTAGACTGTGAATGCTGCAGTCTGCTGCAGATTACTACAGAAATTGTTATTTTACTTAGATGGTAACCACTCTTCCTAACAAAAGACCACACACCAAGGTGAAGATGCAAATGTTTTGAACTGTCACCATCTCCACAATGGTCAAGAAGCTAAGCAAGACCAGAATTGAGTTTATTTTATTATTTTCTTTCTTTTTCTTTCTTTTTTCTTCTTTTATCATGTAATCAATTAATAGATTAATTTATATTTTTAGAATAGAATTGAAATATCTATAAAAATAGCTTTAATTTTTCTTTTTCATGTAATAGTCTCAAGTAGTTAATCATTCATTCAATAGATCAATCAATCAGAGATTATTGAATTTGATTAATTCTTTAGATAGTTTTTTGAGTGAACTTAGGATAGATTTCTTTACTTTCTTTATTTTTTTTTGTATTTTCTCTATTTTCTTAATAAAATCTTTATCTTGTCTATAAATAAGTTGTACACATGTTTATTTATTTCCTTGCATTTGTTTATAAATTATAAGTAAAGTCTATATTATATAATATAAAGTCTTAAAACAAATTATTGATCTTTAATTCTTTGCTTAAACTGTCATGTGACTTAGCCGAAACTTACTTTCTTCATTCTTTAAATCTATCTATCCTTTAAATCCTTATAAAGTCTTAGCGAAACTATTCCATTTTGTTCCTTATTGTCTTTAGATTAGAATTTGTCATATTTTCTCTTCTCCATATTCACTATCCTCCCTTTAACTTGTTACTTCTTTGTTTTATCTAGTTTTCTTGCCTTATAGTATAGAAAATTAGTTACTTTATATTTATTTGTCTTTCTATACTTCCAAAACTCACTGATAACTACTGGACTAAATCCAAGCACTTGTTATACTTGCCTCTCGTTCTTTCGACAAGTAGTATCAATAGAAAGAGATATGGAAACATAGATGCATTATGTTTAAAAAATGGGAAAAAAATAATGATATCAAAACTCATAAGGAAAAAAAAGCTTAGTAAATAGGAAGGAGGTAACAAATGACACAAATAATATTAACACTATAAATAGTGA